GTTTTTTTTGCAAACTGCTGGTTTTAAATAGTAACCAATCTTACTGTTTTTACAAGTAACTAGGTCTAAGAGAATACCTGGAACAACAAAGCTAAATTTTAGTTTAAACTATAGGTTTTTTATAAAAATGTAGTCACTGGGGTGTCGAATCACCCCACGATACCAGTTGAGGGTTAAATTCTAGTTTAGGAGCTATTTTATTATTAGTGCTAGCAATACTATTGACTGCATTTGAAGTCAAATTGTTAACATTTGGTGTGCAAGCATTGTTAATTAATGTATCGATATCACATACTTCTTTTAACATTGACTGAAGATGAAGTATTAGAATGGTTTTTTTGTAAAAATTTGATCAGAAGTGGCTTCACTACTATTTTCAATTTAGTGTCTTGTCAGAAGTTTGACGTTTCTACTTTATTGAATCATTTATGTATCCTTCAACACATTTGTTAGATGCCCAACCTCCATGTCGTTTAAGTCCCAGCAAGTTTTCTCCGGCATCTACTAAAATGGTTGCGGAGGACCTTCTGAAACAATGTCCAGTATATTTTTCAGCTTCAGGGAGTCTGAGAAAAGTTGCAATTTGCATAGGCAGTGCACCCAGCTTATTGATGCCCACGACTTGTCGGGTGCACTTTCCATTTTAATAGTTAAGAAAAAAACGCCTTTCAGGAAGATTTGCAGGATGTAGAGACATATACCTTTTGCATAATTCATAAAATCCACCAGTTACACTAAATTTACGCACTGATTTAGTTTTAGTGTCGAGCAGTGTAATAAGAAATACACAATTTAAGTCTTCAAAATCATCAACTTTCATTTTACACAACTCATCTCGTCGACAAGCTCCACAAGTGCAATGGCCATTGCAACCTAAAAAAATATATATTTGAAGGAATAAAAAACAGCAATCACACAATAAAATTACCTTTGTAAATAGGTATTTTTCGTCAGGTGCTTCTTGCATGAACTTGTGTTGATGTCTTCGGGACTTGGTGTTTTGGACTTTTTGGGTTGATAATGATCTGATGATCGCTTTAATAATGCAATTAGCTTGTAATACTGGCCAATATTTACATTTTTCTTCAGGTTTAAAGTGGCTTTTATCATGGAAAATTGCGACCACAACGTTGATGCAGCACATTTAGATTTTATTTCGTTAAAATAAGCTAACAACACTGTTTCAGAAAACGATATCACTTTATTTGTCTGCTTCCACAACAAACATTTTTCGTAGGCATTAACGTAACGTTTTTTTAAGGTTATTGGCAGCAGATTATCCATTGCTATCTCTGCCGCTTATTTAGTATTTGGTGGGGTGCATCGGAATTGCCTAACAAAAATATACTACTTGAGCTGTTGTATGTCAAAGATGATGTCAATTTCTTTTCACACAGACCTTTCACTTTTCACACAGAAATGTCAATGAAAAGATTTATTTTCTAAGCAACGATGCCATTACGAAATGTGACTTAACATAGTGGTCGTAGAAAAAAATTTGTATTGGTAGCCAAAAAGTACTTTTCATAAAAAATGCTCATTTGTAGGCATAGCAAAGAAATTTGTGTTGGCAGCAGATAATTATATAATATTTGCTGCAGTAGGAAACAAATGAGTAGGGGAGGGTAAAAAGAATTTAACCCTCTTTACAAATGTAAAAAAATAAATTATAATAACTAGGTACATTTAAATTCAACCAAACTACAAATACTTAAGAATAGCATGGGTGTGGTATAAAACAACATAATAACTATGCTAGAAAACAAACATTATATATGGTGCCTCAAAGTTATATATATATAATAATAATAAAAATGCTTTATTGTGTAAAAAAACAAAAACAATTATTTACACAAAAGGCAGCGTTCGTAAGGACGTTCTTCCACACCACCTGTACTAAGAAATTAACTCTTAACTATTTTATTTTGCATATCACATATCAATTACATTAAGTCCTATCATTTCATACAATTTACTTAAGTTTTACATATCACACATTATCACAGTTACTAACTAGTTTTTGTATTCTAAATTAAACATGTTGGAGTTGACATAAATTTTATAAATCACATATTATCACCAGTTAATATCAAATTTTTGTACTCTAAATTAAATGTGTACGGGTTTTTAAATATTATTTTAAAGAATGTTTTATCGTTCAAAAGTTTTATAGCCAGGTACATAAACGAATCCTTAAATTTTGTAGTTTTATGACTAGGTATTTGAAAAAGGTTGTGTCTTAAATCAAGGTTGTGTACATTGGATCTTTGAATAAAGGTGTTGAATGTTGACAGTCAGGCAATTGTTTGATGTATACTTTCTGAACTAATTTTTCCAAAACTATGCTTGTAACGATCTCTTATTTTTAAATGCTTGTTTTCCAAATAGATGGAAGTAATGTGGTCAAATTTTCCGACTAAATAAATGAATCTCATACAAGAGTTCTGCATTAATTGCAGTTTATTTTTATATGTTTCAGTAAGATATGAGTAGTAGACCTGCATGCAATAGTCTGTAATAGGGTATATTAATGTTGAGACAATTTTGCACTTGGTGTTAGAATTTAGAACGTATTTAAACTTATATAGTGATTTCAGCTTCATATAACACAAACTAAGTTGTCTTGTAACATGGCTTTCAAAGTTCAGGTTTGTATCAAAAATAACACCCAGATTTCTTGCTGTTTCTTGCTGAGGTATTTCTATATTATTTATATGGATGGTATTAAAATTATATTGTTTGGATTTATTTATCATGTACCAATATTTATTATAATGTACCAATATTTATTACAAGACTCTTTTTGGCATTTAACTGAAGTCCATGATTAACTGACCAAGCATTTACTTCTTTTAAGACTTTATTTATTTCGTTAGTGGCTGTGTTAATTTCTGACGGATAAAATGATTTTATTAGCTGACAGTCGTCGGCAAACATATGAATACGACAGTTTTTAATTACTTCTGGAAGATCGGCTGTATAAATTGAGAATAAGATGGGTCCCAGGATACTCCCTTGAGGCACTCCATGTTTTGTCACTGCTACATTAGACCTATTTCCATCCAGATCAACCAGTTGTAGTCGATTTTTTAAGTAGTTAGCAAACCACAGACATGCCTTTGGACCAATTCCATAGAAGTGCAACTTGGCCAGTAACAAATCTTGATCTATTAGGTCAAATGCCTTAGTATAGTCTAAAAGGACCAAAAAAGACATTTTTGATTCATCCATAGCCAAGCAGAGATCATTTGTAACCTTAGCCAAAGCAGTAGTTGTACTGTAATTTGCTCTAAACCCTGATTGTATGGGTGGTATAATTTTATATTTATTAATATGTTTAATTAAATCTTTATTGACTAGTTTTCCATTACTTTGGATAGTATTGGTAATAAGTTTATGGGTCTGAGATCACTAAAGTTTAAAGGGTTAGTTTTTTTTGGGAGAGGCTTTATAATTGAGGTTTTCCAAATGGTAGGAAAAACTCCTGTGTTAATTGATTCGTTAAAAATGTTTATTAACGTTTCTGCGCAATATGGTAATATTAGGTCTATCATAAATAGACTAATATTATCAATCCCAACCGCTTTTGATTTTATTTCTTTAATTGCCTGTTTCATATCTTGTTCAGTATATTCTTTAAATTCTAGTTTTAAGCCATTTACCATTGTATTATTACTATAAAACATTTTAGTATTTATATTTATAGGTGTTACAATTTTACTAAGGTCATTAAAAGCTTTATTTATCTCATTGGGTTTACTTAAATGTGGTGGAATATTTTTATCATTCTTATTGTGAATACCCCATTGTTTAAATTGGGACCAAAGTTTTTTAGGGTTGTTATTATTTTTATTAATTTCAAATTCTATGTATGCTTTTTTTTCGTTTCTTATTGCAAATGATAAATAATTTTTTAGATCAAGGTAATATTGTTTATCTTTGTCCAGTTTGCTTTTTTTAAATTTAGTAAATGCTTTATTTTTTAATTCAATCATTTGTTTTATAGTTTCTGTTATGTATAGTTTTGACTTGTGTTTAATATGTACCGTTTGTATAGGTGCATGCTTATTAAATATGCTAGTAATAATTTCATTAAAAAGGTTGACACGGATGTTTAAATCTAAATTTTCATCTAATGCCTGCCAATCCACTGTTCTCATATCAAACTCAAAATCACTTATATTAAAGTTACGAAAATCCCTAAAAGTTATTTCTCCTTTATTCAAATATTCAATATTTAAGTTAACTTTGCAGTAAACCAACCTATGATCAGTAAAGTTGTACATACCTATAGTTCCAACTTCCTCCACAGATACATGTGTATCAACACACAAAATGTCAATAAGAGTACTAGTTGTTCTGGTAACTCGGGTGGGTTCGTTTATAACCTGTCTAAGATTAAATGTATTAAAGATATTTGTAAGATTTCTTTTCCCATTTGACTGAATAAAAAAGTCCACCCATAGGTATTTTTCATCAGCACATTAGCAAAATTACCAAAATTAATAACCTAAGTCTTGTAAAAAAAACGTTAACTGAAGTTAGTTTTTTGTCCCACGGGGTTGTAAATACCTTTTTGCAGCAATATCCAAAGGGCTTCTGCCACAAAAGGATAACATAACATAACAACGTGTATTATTTTAAAGCATACATCAACAGCTTTTAAGGGAGTTGAAACCGGAAATAAGTGGAAATCCACATACACGTAGAACGATTCGATTTCGTCCAGGAAAGGTCCAACAATTACAGGTGTTGTTTAGAGGGACAGTCTAAATGACTTTAGTTTTAATTAATTTTATAACTTAATTACACTTAAAACACTAAGAAACTATAAAACTAACTAAACACTTGTATAAAAGTCCATTTATTTGCCCGTATATTTATTTTATTTCGTCGCGAGTACCAAAGCTTATAAAACAAAATGTTAATCTCAGCTCTAACTCACTGACAGCTAAGTGACGTTTACGTCCATTGGACCATATAAAAGTCCTCGAATTTACTTCTATCAAATAGAAATTCTTTTTGTGCAAGCTGCGTGAAGAGTCCTGAAATGGCTTTGTAAAATGCCAACAACGCATTGTTTTTGTCAGCAGTTTCTCCAGTCGACGTTGCGGTTGTTTTCTTGTCCTTGCTATGATCCTTCATCGCTAAAGACGTTCTTATTTGCTGGAATTTTCGGATCCAGTCACCATGAGCTTCACAAATGTACATGTGACCCTCCGGAAAACGAACTGCATGAGAATATGGTGCTTCATCGTTCAAGGCATTCAAACTTTGTAACGCTTGTGCCCGATGTTCAACAATTGAGAAGTTTAATTTTCTCATGGCGCGAAGTGTCTTTCTCTCAATGCTGCTGCTCGTTCTCTTTCTGCTCTTTGTTGAAATCGACTGGTTAAACTTCTTTTCCGATGCTCCTCAAAAACTAATTGTGCAGCTCCGTCTTCACCTTCCAAAACTTCCTGACCGTTGCCGTCTGTACGACCACGTCTACTTGCAGATCTTGTTCGACTTGAACCTGCGGATTTCGCTCTTGAATTGTTTGATGCTTTCATTTTACCCTTAGACGTGATCGTGAGTTGGTCCGTTAACATTTCTTGACCTTTTTCTCCTTCTTCCTCCTCTCGCTAAGAGTGAGGAGTGAAGGTGCAGCGAAACTATCCCCAGAACAAACCTGCTCGACGACGTCAAAGTTACCCCCAACGTCAAAGTTACCCCCAACGGGAATCACGGCGGTTTCACGACGATGGACAATTATTTTTGTGAATTGGGCCCGATTAATTTGGGACGCACTGTCAATGTAGTCATAAGCAAATTCCATTTCCTTAAAAGATGTTTTGTAATGGGCGGCGTTTGCTGCTATCATCATTTGTGAACCAAGCGTGGAAGATATAGTGATCCAATTTCTCAACGAATCCTGATACTCGCAAAAGTGCTGATAGTCGACAAATTTGTGAGCGCAAAGCTTGTTAATTTTCCTTGGAATTGACGGGAAAAGATTCCCGGCAGAAAACATCAAACCGCAAAACTCTGTTGAATCCGCGATATCGACACGTAACCCCAATGCACAAGCGGTGTTCAAGGCTTCACGATTACTCTCATTGATGGCCAAATTCAGTTGTCGTTTGGTGAAATCATCCCCTTTGTATATCAAAGCAACCGGTCCTTCACCCCTAACAATGAAGTTTGAAGCGATCTTGGACACGACTCCGTTGTTTGGAAGTGTTTCGGGTTCGCCACTGGTCTTTTGTGTCCCAGCAAACCCAATAGCCACACTCGATATGATTATGTAATTTTTCCGGAACGAGTAATAATGTTCCAAAAAATCTTCTGGAACGCCAAGGGCACCCCAGTACATTTTTTCAATCAGCTGGGTGAAGGCATTCTGGTTGGCATCAAAAGTTATACCGTCAGTTGTTGCAAATTTTGCAACTGCCGGTACCTGCATTATTTTCGCTTTTACATTCATCATGAATTCCTGTTCCGTCAGATATGAATCGGTCGTCACATGGTATTTTTCACTCTTGATTGAGAAGCGACAAAGAATTCTGAAGATTAAGCAAAACATTGCACATGCGTCCGTGCTCCAAGCCGAAATACCCTGTCCAGCCTTGTAAATGTCCGGAGTTCCATGTTTCGGTTTGAAAATGCCCTTCAGGCTAAACCGAATACTCCTGCCATCAGGGTTCTCTGAACCTCCGTTGCCCTCGAACGCCTTTTGGTAGTTTTGAGTTGTGACTTTTTTAAAAAATCCCGCTATCACTTTAGTTATTTCTGCGTCATCAAAAAGATTTCTCCTGTAATCATCGATAACATGCTCCGCAAACCACAAATTCACCATCTTTGACGCCAACGCTCTCTGCTTGAATCCCAACTCGAAATAGGGTTGTTTGTTGAAATAACGCGCCTGCAACACCTGCATTACCTGGGCTGGTGATTTCCCCGAAAAGTGATTCCCTATTCCCGACGAAATCGAATAGTAATTCAAGGTTAGGGAAGTTGGATGCCCTCGTTTGTTCACCGGCACGAGTAAACCATCAATGTTGAATGTTCCGGTGGCGAAGTTTTGGGGCACGACGGAACTTGAAACCAAGTTCATTGACGTGGTCGCATCATCGTAAGCAGCAGTGGGCAAAAAACTCTCATGCAACAAATGCAAATCCTTTGGTGGATGCGGCTCCGAAATGATCAAATCAACAATTTTATCCTCTGCAATGAAGGGTTTCACCTCCTCGTTCGGAAAAGTTAGCCATGTTTGCATATGCTCATAAAACTCTTGATCTAACGCGAGTTTTTGTTTCAGTTTCACAGCTTCATCGCAGTTGTCAGAAACAATGTACAATTTTTCAGTATGTCTACTGATTGCGACAATCTGTAGTTTTTCAACTGACGAGGTGTTACCGTCTGCGACAGTACAATACAGTATGGTAGTTTTGTGTGTCCCACCCTGATTACTACGAACAGTGTTTTTCTCTTGTTCGGTATTTGCTTTTGCTGAAGCCTTCGAAAAGGCCATTTTTACAGCAACAAGATCAGGCACTTTGTCTGGAGTGATGAATTCAATCGACTTCAATTGTTGACGCGGCCCGCGTATTTTCCCACTTCATCTGATTCCAAATTAATGTAATCCGGGCGCAGCTTCGTGAACGGCGCCAACACCAAATCAGACTCAGTCTAAGCTGTCTTATCAAATAAGACTTGCCGCAACCCGGACCGGCTTTAATGTAGTACACTTTCGCCTTTGTTTCAAAACCCTGTGTTGGGGTGTTTTCATGGCAACGTTTTTTCACAGCAGCCAAACCAGCCGGATCTTCATCAGTGTCGATTAATTTTGTTCTCATAATATCAACCTGTTCGTCCGTCAGCGAAAATGTCACCGGATCCACGGCTTTGTGTCCACAGTTGACAACTTGGTCCCCAAGTTTACCCATCAATTGAAAACAAATAGGACACGCGGGAATATCTCCTTCATATGGATTGTCCAGGTAAAGACCAACGGGATTCTCCCTTTGATTTTCCTCATGTGGAAAGAATGTATGAGATTGCAACGTGGCACCCTCCATAGGAACGATAATTTTGTCCACAAGGTGTCCAGCAAACACCCAATCGATCAGACTATCAATGGGCCAAATTAATGATCTCCCAGCCATTTTCAGGATTGATACAAATTTCTCGTAAACACTCTCAATGCCAATGTTCTCAATTATCCGGTCACGGACAGCGGTTTTCAACTTCACATCCAGAAAAATTGCCAGAGCAGTATCTCCCACCAGCCTCTTGGCCAAAAACCAAGGCTGAATCAGTTCTTTCGAAATCAGAGACATACCCCCCATTCTGCGACGGATAAAGCAAACCGTGTTTTGGTACGACAAGGATTTTGGATCCAATGAGTACAAATAGTTGACGAAATCCATATATTCAGTTTCAAGCATTGAAAAATATTTCAGAGGGTACAACACTCTTCCTGTCCTCCGATTGATGCAGTCTGGGATTCTCAAAACCTTCACATACTGCTGTTGCTCGTTTAGTTCGATGGACCGAGCAATTCTTTCGGGATTTTTACAGCGGTAAATTTTAAAACAAGCCATGGGTCCAACTCTGCTTGTAATTTCAACAGCCAATGTAAGGTTAGATTTCTTACTCCGTATAACCGGGCTGATGAGCAAGCTTGTCCATTTCTGTGTTTCAAGCACATACCCGTTACAGTATCCGTGTTTAAAAACCAACGTTGATAATTTAACCCCCATCGTTGTGGTTCTCTGCGAAACGGAGTACAACGGGTTTTCGGGCATTTCTGGGAATAGCAATTCCAATGGGAGCAACCCATACCCGTAAGCGATCTGCGCCTGTGTCTTTTCAAAAATTTCGATGTATTCCTCTGGTCCAAAGTTGTAAAAGGAATCCTCAAACACCAAAGTGTTTGTTTGAATAAAGGAGGTGTGAATAGTCTCTGGCATCTTGTACGTTGTCATATAATCCTTCAGTATTTCCTCGGCCATCCAATACCTCTTAACAGCGGGTCTCATTTTAATTTTTTCGGTTTGAGACGGGTTAATGAAAACCCTAAAATTGGTTTTTAATGCTTTCGTCTTCAGTATTTTAGCGATGTCTTGCAATAGTCCTTGTTTTCGCGTCCGTAGTACACGTAGTAGAGAATGTGTGGATTCGAGTTGTACTTGCGTATCTCACGGGCGCTACTACCCACAATTAATGTTTTTTCAGATGTTGTTAAAATTCTGAATTCGTCCTCGAAGACATCGCGAACCAAATCACGACAGGCAACCAGAACTGGATGATCATTAGTTACTGTTTTTCCACCGTAGAAAACGATGGGAAAATTCACAATTTTCTGCTAATACTTCTTTGTGCAGATGTCAAGGCGACAGTGACTCTCATTGCACTTTTGAGCTACTCTCGGTAAATCTTTGCAGCTTCGGGGGCGCCAAGTTGGGCTGCGCCTGCCGCCAAAGCGGTATCCAAAACATTTTGCACGTCCATTTTTGAGTTCCGCCCAAAGAGGTTGAACCGTTGATATGTCTATTTCTTCCACTCCGGTCTTCCAAGAAACTGGGAAAGTTGAGGAGAAGGTCCAAACAAATCTCTAGCTACACCTTCTATTGACGACACTACTAATTTTATTTTTAGTTTTGTCTTTCCTGTTTCATATATATTCAGTGCCTACGTGCCTTTCCGAATATTCCAGCGAGCTCCGGACCGCTCTCGATCGCTCGAGCGCCGACTCACCGGCGATGACTCATTCCGGGATACAGAGCGGTACTCGCTACAATATTGTGTCCGCATATGGCACGAAAAAAATAAAACAACATGTTGAAATAAAATAAGTACTTTATAACATGACTATAAATAACATGTTAGATCTTCTAACTATTACAAAAATTAATAGATTGGCAACAATTTTATTGACCCATAATCGAACCCATAACCTTGAGAATCAGAAGTCAGACCTGCTGACTACTACACCATATCGGTTGGCAAAATGCCTGTACTACTCAAAATAACAGGAGTAAACAAATTGAGGTAATAATATTGCACTTAGCAATATATTTATCTTAACCATGCTCTTGAGTGGGAATCGAACCACGACCTTAGGAAGAAGAATTCAGACCAGCTGAATACTACACCATAAAGGACAGCAATAATACATCAAATATTTTGGTATCAATTTGAATATACTATGCATATGTTGCCAATGCCAATTAATAATTATTTATTAAAAAAACATAAAAAAATTAATGTAAACGAAAAAAAAAGTTAAAAACCACCTATCTTCGACGATACCTCTTTTTATTTAGGACTTGTGCCACTTTCCATATTTCCGACACATTTTCTGGCATGGGCCGATTTTCTTTGCCCATTAATTTTTTATTAAAACCATTAAAATAATTAAATATAATAACTTTATTAAAATTATTTAAAAAGGCTTGTTCAATATTTTGTTTATGTAAACATTCTTTGAAATTAAAACTTAGGTGTATTTTAACATAATGTAGAACAAACTCCTTTAAATTGAAATAATTTGGAAATTTTTTTACCAAGTATAAAAAAAATGTAAATTTTAACTAAAATTAAAATTAAATTTTTTGATAACGTTTCTGTAAAATTCTTTATATTTAATAAACTTATGTAAGTCAGTAAAAATATTTGATTTGCAGATTATGCAGTTTTGTAACTTTAGTTTTAATTTGGATATGTATCCGGCAACATAGGCGATTACACACTTTCCTATATGTGAACAATCCAACAATAAAGCATTCAGTGGCACTTGTGAAAAACTGCATGTGGATCTCTGATTTTTGTTCTGGTCCTAAAAAAATATATTTTATTAGTATTATAATACTTATAACAAAGAGGAATGCAATGAAACAAAAATATGTAGAAAAAGTTACCTGCAATGAAAAGTTCTTCAAAGTAACCAACACAGTAGCCCCATCCTCATTACAGTTACTTTCCACTGAGTGCCTTGATGTTAGATTGTTCACCAAAGGCACTGCAAGTTGGAGTTACATACCTCCCTCCTCTTTGGCAAATCCTTCCAAAACAAATTTTCAATGGATCTTGATTAAAATTTCGCGGCTTCTAAATTTTGATACCGCAAAATTTTAACCTATTTCTTGAGAAAATAATTTTTTTAAGGTGAGTTGCCAGTTTTTGATTGATTGAATGTTTTCCATTTTTGTAATGGCCTACTTATAAAATTCTAAATGATTGAATCGTTTTCCTCTGTAGAAACTGACGTTCTCAAAGGTTTTGCTTCTTTATTTTTTTTTTTAAGCCATTGACACTATCAAATAATTTGTCAAAAAATTGGCAAAATTGTGCAGTGTCAATAGCTCTTTCATCTAGCTTAAGGTTGTCCTTGGTATATCATATAACAAAAAAAAACTTTAGATATATTTTTTAGTTCATTTCTAATAAACCCAAATATTTAAATCAATTTAAAAATTATTATGTATAAAATTAATGTAACTTACCACTAATTGCTAGAATCTGGCTTTTTGCCTCCATTTTTGTATCATGTATGGCTTTTTTCTTTACAGTTAGTTGTTTTTTACATTGTTTTTTCGAGCTGGTTAATATTTCAGTATTTTTCTTCTTTCCCTCTCGTCTTTTTACAGGATTTGAAACGGCTTTAGAAAATGGTTTTAAAAGGGTGGAAGAGATAAACTGCTTTTCTGAAGTTCCTCTGTGTAAGGTTCCACAAGTAGATGGCATGCTTTCGAAGACCTGGAGGTTCCTATTAGATTGTTCTTCTGTTCCGATTATTCTTTTACTTTGGAGTAAAGCAAATGGATTTTAGGTTTTTCGGATTGCATTTCAAGATTTAAATTAGTAACACATGGTAATAAGTCCAAAAACATCATATACATTTTTTGAAATATATTTTTCAATTTGTCAAAAATTTTATCTACTGAATCAACATTTTATTCAGGATTTGAAAGAACTTCATTTTTAAAAAATAATTTTAATGCATTGCTCTAATGTACGCTTAACACAAGCATGAAATAAAAGCCATCATCTGTAATCATGTATGAAACTTTTGGTTGTTTTTGTAACTCTAAACAATTTTTAATGTGTTTGGTAGTATTTTCATGACGGGTTATTTCAGTCATACCCCCACAATAACTGTAATTACAAGATTTACAGAAGAAAAAATTTTGACCTTTTTTATTCTTCTCAACCCATTTTTTTTCCCACTCGATATTATATTTTTGGGTATAACGTTGTTTTTTAACTGGACCAATGCATTTGCATTTTTTTTCATCATCAGTTGAAGAGCTTGTAGAAAGAGAACTTGTTCTTTTGGAGCTAGAACACAGTACAATGTTTACTGTACTGCCAACTGTTGGTTAACAAAAGGGAACTCTACTTAAACCGATTTAAGAATTATAAAAATACCAACGCTTCGGTATCTCGCCGCCAGGGTAGTCCCTTGAGAAGGCCTCCACCGTTGTCCAGACCCCTCTGGCTGTCCCCTCCGGAATTTTGTGCTTAAGAGGCACGCACTGTACCACTAGCCGCCTTCCTTCTGGCAGTCCCTCTACCTCATTTGGGGGCTCCTCCGTCTGGGTTCCCTGATCCGCTGTCTGTGTTGCAGCCTCGTAGATACCGTCCTCCGTCTGCGTCTCCCCATTATACAGCATCTTTGGCACCTCCTCATAGCTGTTTTTTTCAATCCACTCCTTCACTGATAGCCTGTTTATAATCTCCACCTGTACTTTCATCCCTTTTGCTAACCCCTTAATCGCCGTCTTGGTGTTTTGCTCTATGTTGTTTTCCAACACCTTTGCCAGCCTAGTTATTTCCTCCAGTGCCTCCTTAAGGACAGAAGCTACAGAGGGCTCCTTTTTTTTGTATAATCCTCCCTCATTGTCTCTCATAGACGTATCCAGGACTTTCCTTTTCTTAGAGCCACTGAAAGAATGACTCCTAGCTATGGCTCCAAAAATCTTAGAGAAGCTAGGTATCTCTGCCGATGTCTGAGTCTCCTCGTCCCATATTAGATCCAGGCTGTCCAACGAGTTTCTTCGGCTCCCTGTGGGTTTCCCAGTATTCACTGCCTGACTCCCGGGCTGATTTTTTGTTCCAGACGCAAGTAATGATATCCCGGCCTGGTTCCCTGCCAGGGGTATCATGCTTTCGCTGGCTGACGGTCGAGGGGGACCAGCAATCCCCTTATCGACCGGCCCTAGGGTATCCCTCCCTTGGGCGGTAAACATATCAGTTCTTGAACCTTCCATGTTTGGTTTGGCCGGTTTCCTTCCGGTGTCTTCCCAAACAGCACACAGACATCTTTAAGACATCTTAAAGACGCCTTGCTTCGCTATTCAAGACATCCTTAAGACGTCTTATTTACGCCGCACGTCGTCTTTACGACGTCTTTAAGACGTCGAATGTTAAAAAACCCAACGTCTTTAAGACATCTTTATTAAGTCATTTTACGGCCATTAATGGACGTCGTAAAGACGTCTTTAAGGGACTAAAATATATTGCTAAAATTAAAAAAATCGTTCAAAATCCACTAAAACTTTTATTTTCTATTTTTAAATAAACAAAGTGTTCCAACTTTGAGGTGGAAGGTTGGCCACATAAAATCATACAGATAGCAAAATATTTGAAAAAAAAATCTTAAAACTTCTTTAATAATTGGGTTCTTCTATCTGATGCCCTTTTTAGCCAAGCTTGAATAGCAATTTCCGTATCTTTATCAAATTTGGCAAGACCCGATTTCTCCACTGATCCTAAAAAAAAAACGTATTAATTTACACAACAGCGGTTTGTTTGTTTTTTAACAGGTTTTAAAACTTTTAAATAGACAGCTATTTTATAAAAAATAATATTTACTTAAACGAATATGCTTCATGTTTCTTATTACCTATTTCACTGGATTCTCACTGCTGAAGATTGAAGACACGACACTGTTTGGTCCAAACAACGGCCATAAAATTAAGTTTTATAATTATTATAGTACTCACACTCAGTTCACAGTAAGTTTTATTTGTAAATAGCTAGACACCGAAAAAGTTTAAATAAAATGCAAAGTCAAGCAGTATCAGCTAACAAAAATGTTTGTAAAAAAAAACAAACAAAATGGCTAATCATATGCCAATTCCGCTTTGACAACAGCGTTGCCGGAGTTCTCTTTGCACATTGCGCATGGTGGTTTGGTCAGATGTTTTATTTGTTTCTTTATTTCTATCGTGTTTGGATTTAATATTAAATCCTACAAAAAGTTGCCTATACAGGCCCTGATTACAAATGCTGTAAGTTTTAATATTTTATTGAATACATTTTGTTGTTATATTTAATTTGTTGTAGATCTGCTAAAAATTAGTCGATCTGACAACGTTGTCCAGTTTTGTATTTAAGGCAAATTCCACAAGGGGGAAATAATAGAAGTGCGCTAAATTTAAAATTACCATTGCTATCAAATAATATTAAAATAGAGAGATTGTTGATATAAAAGTACCTATCTAAACTGTTAAACATAAGTATTTAGTATATATAGAGCAAATTCTTACACTTCACATAAACAGATAGTTTTGTATGGGTGTACATTTTTTTGAGTTTCTTAATAGGCAGTTAGGTTAAAATGTCCCAAACTAGGCTTTCATGGACGTCTTTAGGATATCACAAATTGCATATCTTTAAGACGTCTTCAAAAATACGCCTTTAAGACTTCCTTACTAAGTCTTTAAATGTATTCAAAAGTTAAAGAAAGTAATTAATTAATTTATACAGGTTATCTTAATAAAGTAAACGCCGCGGGTACAAATTGCAGTACAGCAGGTAGATCCTAGATAGTTTATATCCCGAAACAGACTTTAAAAAGACGTCTTTAAGACGTTACTAAATTGCTTGTTTTAAGACGTCTTCTCAAATATGTCTTTAAGACGTCGTTTTTAGGTCTTAAGACGTTCAGACCTTATTAAGACATAAACAAGACGTCTTAAGGATGTTGTGTGCTGTTTGGGTTTTAGACCTACGACCAGGTGTTGAAGGGACAGCCGCTCCACAGGGGTCAGACGCTGACCTGCCAGCCGCCCCTCAGGGGTACAGACGCTGACAAGATTTTGTTGTGATCGTCTCTTAGTTTTCACTGCATCCCCCCAGACCTGTCCAGCTTGGGTGACCCTGCCAGGAGTTCAAAACTCCCGCTGGCATAGCTCTGGGGTTCATCGCAACTACTTCGGCCCATTCACCACGACAAGGTGGACGACCCCGAATGGGAACTTGTCTAAACCTAAACATAACTAATTTACTAATGTTACTAGTTAAATAGATCATCAAATCCATCCATAGTACCAAACTTTAAAAAATAATCTAGTTTAAGTCTTTTTTCTTTCACTTTTAGTTCCTCCAATTTAATTTTTTTGTATGTTTGTTCAAAGTTATTTATAGCAGAGGTCACTGTAGTTGCCGCATCGGCGTCGATTCGTTTTGCTTCAGCATCTGCTTTTGAGATAGATGCTTTTGCTTCCTCGTCCCATGCGAGGTCCAATATTTGTCTTTATCTATCTAGGTCCGACAGTGAGGCGCTCCTGTTTAGTACCTGGAAATCTTCCTTTTTTTTCTGCCAAAGATGGATGGAGATTTGGTTTTGTGATTTCCCTTCCATCTGCTGTTCCTGTAATTACAGAGGTATTGCCCCTCCCAGAATCCTTGGGACAGCCTGCTTTCGCAGGGAGGGATTCCCGGTCTTCGGCCGGACCCTCCTAGGAATTATTTTGTATACTCCTCATTTTTACTGTGTTGGTTTTTTTGAATGGTTTCCTTCCATTTGCTTTTTATACCTACAGCCAGGTATTTGCGGTCAGCCGCCCCTCTGGGGAACAGACGCTGGCCGAGTAGCCGAACGATCCGTTGCAGACGCTACTCGGGCTTTTTGGCTAGCCAAGGCGCTGCCACCTAAGCTCCAGAACCAGAACACCCTTCATATCTACGAACTTACTAAACTATATATACTTACACTAATACTAACTTGCCTAAACCTAAACCTAACTAATCTAATACTATGTTACTAGTTAAATAGATCATCAAATCCATCTATAGTACCAAACTTTAAAAAATAATCTAGTTTAAGTCTTTTTTCTTTCACTTTTAGTTCCTCCAATTTAATTTTTTTGTATGATTGTAAGTTATTTATAGCAGAGGCCACTGTAGTTGCCGCATCGGCGTCGATTCGTTTTCAGCAAAACGGTCTACAATGGCCTCCAAACGGGTTCTTTTTGAAGCTAAAAATTGTATAAAATATAATTAGATTTACTACTATTGCTTTCATATGGATTCAGTAACATTTAGGGATAATGAATTTTTAAAACAGTAGCAAAAATTTTGCAGTTCATTGCTTTAGTATATGAATTTTTCAAAATAAAAAATAAATCCTTAATTTTTTTAAATTTTATTACCTACCTCTTCGAAATTCTGCCCTGGGAACTGCTTCTAAAAAAATATTTGGAACTTAAAAAGAGTATAATTTTGCTAATTAATATTTAGTCCATATAAAATATAATTATATTATATTATTAATTAATAAGTGTTATTTCTACAAGTTCAACTCCCCCCCCCCAAGGCTCAGAATTTTCAAACAAGGTAAAGAAATATATTTTGTATAACCACTCTCCCCACCTTCCATAGGGTTAACCCCCCAGACAAAATTTCTGGGAACGCCGCTATATAGCCGACCCTGTATGTACTAAAAATCTCCACTAATAGTTACAAAAAAGTTTTTGGCTGAACTAGAATTAAATTTTATATATGTATATATACCATTTTCAGGTCTTATCTGCTGTTGCTGCTCTGCTGCGAGTTTGACTCGCAGGAAAGCAGCAATTACATTAAATATTAAAAACGTTTCTGCAACTCCTAAATTTGTTTAATGTATACCATAGCAATCTAACCTGGAGGTGATGCTGCGGCTGGGGCGGAGGCTGAGACACCAGCCTCTTTAATCTCCGAATCCCCAAAATATATTTTGGAAGTGAGGGCCAGCAATTGCTCCTCAATGGGATTCATTCCTGTTGAGTTTGCTGGCCCTTCTCCAGTTTGGATCCTCGTTTGCTCCATCACCCTAGCCTTGTGCCGCACTTTCGACTTCCATTCAGTGAAAACCTTAAACATAAACATGTATACAATTTATAAATTCGTAATTACTTTTACATTTATTCAAATTTTAAAATTATGTATTTAATTATATACTTGCTTCCATTGGCTCGACGTCTTTGCCGGGCCAATATTTTTTTCGTTTATTCTTGTGGAAATGTCAGTCCACAAGGAATTTAACTTAACCACTTCAGCGGGCTTCAATTTGGAATTCAAAATATGTTTATTTTGCTGTGCAAAATGTAATAATTCTTCGAGTTGTTTTTTGTTGTCCTTCCTGAACGATTTATTTTGACAAACTAAATTTACCTATTTGATAATTAAGTTCACAGCCTACTCTATATATTTTAAAACGAAATAAAAATCGTATATTTTAATTAAAATAAAAAAATATTTAAAATGGTATAAAACCTGTAATATTTAGATTTTTTTAATAAAATTTTAAATTTGTCGATAAATTATAGTAGATAAATTGCACCACTTTAATTTGAATTATCTTAAATAGGGTGGCCTGGAGGCGGGTGAGGCGACAGGAAAAACTAACTTTTTTTCGCAAACTTCAATTTAAATTCTGTTTGCGCCGAACTTGTTTTTTTAAAGTCATTATAAACTATTATAAATTTGGTGTGGGTCCCATGTCTAATAACTGAAATATTGGTATACCCAAAATCCACCAGCCGCCACTGACTTGTTGGCATTAATTCAATCTCGTTTATTTCCATAGATTTGTTTACTTCTAGGGATTTGGTTTTTTTTTACGGATTGAGTCGTGTGTTTTTTTTTAATCTCATTAAAAACATGCTCTATATTATTCCTATTATCCTAAAAATTCTCTTAATTTTTCTTCTTGTCTCGTAATTATCTGTGCCAAAGACAATTTTGGCTGCTTCCTTTAAATATTCATTATCCTTGGATCTCATTCCCTGTACTATTAAAAAAATAAAGCCTTTAGCGATAAAGAAGCTAGCTAGTTTAATTAACAGTTCAACACCTGTAGCTGCATGCATATATACAATAATGCTTAATAATAATAAAAGAATGCACTTTTTTTTAATGTTAGATCATTAAATGTTTTTAAAACTTTTTCTCTAGCAATACTTAAACTATTTGCTGTTTA